GGGGGGGGGGGGTTGTCATGAGTAACCATTTCCTTGAATTAAATACGAATTAAGGAACGTTACCCAAGTCAGACCAGAAAATGGTTTGCGCGCAACGTCGTAGAAGCAGAAAGCTATTCCACTATTGCAACGTTCGCACACAAGGCATTGCATCACGCACAACGTCGCATAAGCATACGCGATTCCACTATTGCAACGTTCGAACACAAGGCATTGCATCACGCGCAACGTCGCATAAGCATACGCGTTCCACTATTGCAACGTTCGCACACAAGGCATTGCATCACGCGCAACGTCGCATAAGCATACGCGATTCCACTATTGCAACGTTGCGCACACAGGGTTTTACAACGCGCACAACAGTTGCGTCATGTTTCCGGGCCTTACAAAGACAAGAGAATATCTCGATTGTATGGTTTATTTTTTGGTTAAGTGTTAAGGTGTAATTATCATAAGGTATATTATTACGAGTATATAATCTTTTTTTTTTATTATTATTTATTTATTTGGTGTAAAAACAATAGTCAGGTTAGGCATGAGTAAAATATGGACAGTCAAATGGCTTCCGCAATCCGCTATCCTGATTGGATAGATATATTTTTGGAGCCTCTAATTGGGTAAGGTTATATGTCATTTGATAGTCATGCGCGTACGTTTGTCTGAACTTTGCGTACAGACTCTGCCGAGTGGCATCAGATTTTGTTGTGGATCGTAAATTAGTTAGGAGTTTGGAAAAGCTCGTTATATCTTTATATTTACTTATTAGTTATTTTATGTGGTTTTAAGTTTAAAATTCTCGTAATTGCAATGTTATTTTTACATGTTAATTTTCAGTTTCTTTTTTTCTGAAAGCAAACTCTATTTAGGATCCGTTTTTATGAAGGTAAGCTACAGACACACGGCAGGCAATCGATGTCGCGAGCCATGTCGCACGACGCAAATTGCTACACGCAATGTTACTGAAATAGAAAACTATCCTACTCGAGCAACATTGCCTGCAATAATGCACTGCGCGTGTAATGCTGCAACGTGTCGCCTTCAGCGTGACTCTAGCTTGTGCTTCCCGGCATTCCTCCTCCTCCAGAAAGGGGAGAAAAAGAGCATGCTAGCTGGTTCTAGCGAAACTGCTACATCATTTGTTATCTTCTAGAGAAAGAAGACGCTAGGATCACATTGCACCTTCATGTAAGCGGGTCTTAGAGGTTAAGTTACAAAGTGAAATATTTTACAAGATGCGCGTGCAGCAGCATTGGCTGTTAAATTCTAATTCAACTTGCTTACGGGAAGTTCACTCTCGAGACTAACACTTCCTAGTTGCAACGTAGTTTTTCTCCAAGAATTTCGACAAAGCTGATCATGTCATGCTGTTGCACACACGAATCAGCTCTTGATCAGTCAAAGATTTCAGTCTGGGGTAAGAGCCCCACTTAATTAATTTTGAACAATGGGTAATGGGGCAGTGAATCATACGCAGCACCATCACAATACATCCTGCACCCATACATAAGTAATGGATAGGTAAAGGAAATGCAAAATGATGATAATATTTCTCAAGGAAGTGCTTCAAGTAAAAATTGTGTTKCAATTTGTAGAAGTACAGAACGTGAGAAAATAAAAATATTGATAAAAGTACGTAGCTTACGCTCTATGTCTTATATTCACTCTGGGTTTTGGGATATATGTGGAGGATATTAAATTCTTTCTTCCTTCTACTTCTCTGCGGGTTGTACCCTGGGTGCCAGAGGTTCCAGGCTATGCGGGTTGAGGATACCGGCTGTTTTTCTCCTCCTAGTTTAGACACACACAGTAGTCAACTACTGTAGTGATTTTGCAATTAGAGATTTTTAAGTTTGACAATACCCACGATGGCCCATAAAGGAAACGCAGCAAGTTAGACTAGTTGCTAAAATAAGAAACGCGTTGCTGCTTGCACTACGGAAGCACATAGGGGACAAAGCTGCAAATAAAGTAATATAACGTTAAACGATAGGCACTGAGCGAGCAGTTTGCCGATTGGGCCTTTAAAAATAGTCTAACAAACAGCAGCTAGATTCTTATTTGACAGCAACGCGTCCCCTCCCTATAACGTTGAACTAATTAGCTCATGGGATGGCTAACGCTTGGACTTGTTCATTGTCAGTCAACATTGCTGATGCCACGGTCAAATCTTGCCTTATTGTTTAGTCAGTGTTCTATTTTGTAAGGGAATAACATTTTTCGGACCTCTCATGTTTGAGGACCAAAATGACGAAGAACAAACTTCGCACATTGGTCAGYGCAGAGTATTCAAACGAGGCGTCTGACGTCACAAGTCACGCTATCATGAGCGGATGTACTTGTTTGACGTCACAAGTCACACTATCATCACTCTTACGTAACACAACTCAAAACTCATTCAACATGGCAACAGGGTCTACAATCTTCGTCAGCATTTTCTCGGTTCTTCTTGCTGTCTCTTCGACTCTCTGCCAAAGCAACATCCCTAAGAATCCCTTGGGATATGTATTCAATGGTGGAAAACCAACAGCTCCGATTCATCTAGAGATCTTTGCAGACCTGACCTGCCCAGACTGCCAACAAGCCTGGCCTGTGGTCAAACAAGTAGCTGAATACTATGGACCTGAAAAACTTCGAATGGTCTTTCAAACATTCCCTCTTGCRTTTCACACTAATGCTTTCATTGCTGCACAGGTATTTAAAGATTTTTTAATCAGCTGATACAACTTACTTTTTAATAGCATATGAATGCTTCTAGTTTAACATTCCACAAGTTGACGCACAAGGAATACGTGTGTTCCATCCTTTACCAATATAAATGAGAGAAAACCTAGATATTTCGCAAAACGAAACAGCACTTTGCTGTCAAGCTTTCAATGCTAGATAATAAGCTAGGTCTGAAACTTCAAATATTAATTACGTAATGAAGTGGAACATTCCGGTAATTTTGGAACTTGGAATGCTAAAAGTGCGGATTCTTTGGAATRAAAGCTAATTTTCAGATGGTTCAGATCACCTATTAATCTACATATTATTATTCATAAAAAAACATTATTCTATCTGACCGAGTCTATCTTCATACTAATATTTTATCATATTGACTAAATTTTGAGGTATAAAATTGATGTATTAAAAATGGATGTATAATTTTTTTTTAATACTCCATTTTATAGTTCCATTCAGTGAACACGAATACTAGTTCCAAGTTGAGGCTGGAATTGCTGCGCAWAGCAAATCTATTCTTTTTATCATTCAAGGCAACTGGAACTATTATTCATGGTCACTGAACGGAACTGTAAAATGGATTATTCAAATTTTTTAAAATATTTTTCTCAAAAGTTGTTTATTATGAAACACATATAAAAGACATATGGTCAGAAGTTGGAAAATATTATGCCCAACGCTATGGATCTATTATTTTGAGTATTTTCTGGTTTTCCTATAYAGAGTGTACCAGTTGCTGAACGTTTTAATTCCAGTCTTGTCTTTACATGGATTGACGTRCTGTTCAAGAACCAGAACCTATTGTACAACTTCCAGACATTGGACAAAAACAGATTTGATATTAATAAGTAGGTTGAGTTTCTTCATGAAATGTGGTATGGTTATTTTTTTCCACATATTTTTATAGCTACTGTTTATGTAATGTAATGATGACGGCTGTGTTTTCACTAGGACAAKTTAAACTAGCTTAAATATGACACCAGAAATAAGGCAAAGTTAAACTACCTAGCAAGATGGTTTAAGTTGTCCTACCAAATAAATGGGCCAATCACAGTGTTATTCTTGAAAGGTGGTTGTCRGATTAAAACACCTCCAGGAATTTTAGGCAAGTTAACATTTCTAGTGAAAACACAGCCGACCTCATGTAATGATTCAGTATCTTGACCTCTGACCTTGACCCAACTTGATCCTCATTTCTCAAATTCATGGGTGGACACTTAGAATCTATTAATTTTCTACTTTAGTATCATCGCTTCACTAGCCCCTAAAGCAGGCATAAGTCAGTCAGCTATGAAAGCAGGATTATCAGAAGCCAGTCCAGAACGACAAGCAATAATCTCTTGGAAGCATGGATGCTCTAGTACGTATTCCCTTTAATTTAGGAATACTTTACTGTGTCATTCAGTCAAGACCTCTGTATGTATTGCTAGCTGTCATGGTTACAGTAATGGAATTACACTGCATGGCAGCTAGTCTACTTGTAAATGTCAGAGCAGTTCTCTATTATTTATTAGCCTTTATCATTGGCATATCCCTTCTCCCACTCCCTATCAGCTCTATTAACTTTACTATCTCATTCTCAGTCAAGAGCTCAGTATAAAGTATGAGCTGTCACAGTCACAATAATTACAAGGGGGAATCCATGGGTGATGAAAGGAGTGGCTAGCCACCCCCCTTGTGCTTAAATTTCTCAGTATTATCCTCAGTAAGCCACCCCCTTTTCCTCACATTCATGGTAAAACCTTTGTAATAGTCACCCCCCCCCCCCCGCTAATATTCCTGGATTTGCCACTGAATGGCATCTATCAAATTGTACCTTATGGACATTAAAAATGTTGGAAGAGTTGTCTATTATTATAAAAACCTGGTTGGATTTCGCATTAGTGTATTGTGGGACTGTTTTAGGTTCAAGGTTCAAGGCTTTTTATTTCCACTTACAACAATATAAAATAATACATGAAAAAACATAAGGGTAAAATTATTATGGTGGTAGAGTGCAGGAATACAACCCAAAGGGTTAATGAAGAAGCTTCCTACACTCTAGTATTATTAGGAAAGAATATGGTTGAAAGTAGCGGAAAAGAGAATTACAAAAATGTGAATAAGTATAGTTTGAGAATTTAGAATATTGAAAATTGATTACAAATAATCCATGATACACAAGTAAGCAAAATAGATAAAATTATTGAGATAATAAAAATAAAAAAAAAATGACGTGTTTTAAACATCTTATGAGATGAGCTTGATTTTATTTCAAAAGGCACATTAGGGGACGAAATAGACGCCATCATGAAAATGCACTACAATGCCAACTCTACCCAGTTTTTTTCTCGACCTCAGACAACTAAATTACACTCTTCTTCAGAGCTCTAGTCTGATTATGTCTTATTTCTCTTGATCACTCCAGAAACCGTGTCAGGTACTCCAACGTTCTTTATCAACGATGTTCTGGTTTCTGAAGCATCTTCAACGTGGACTATCGACCAGTGGAAAAAACTGATCGATTCTATTTTAGAACAGTAAGTTACTGAAAACAAAATAAAGGTGAAGAAGAAAGGAGAATCTCCAATTTCTTTTGATATTACTTATGAATGATTGTGACTGTTAAATATATGTGTATAGACCTGAATTTGTTTTCTAATTAAGATGGTAAACGTTTTCTTATCATTTAGTTGCTATCATTATGGATGAACGAATAAAGGAAGGGAGGGAGGGAGGGAGGAAGGAATGAAAAAAGGAAGGAAGAAAGAAGTGAATGAATGAATGAATAAGATTTGATTCAGTATTGAATGAAGACCAATAAAAAGATTTTAAAATATTTTTTTATTCTGGTTTTCACGGTTATAAATTAACAATTTTCATAAAATTCGTTCACTTTACAGTTTTGAAGTAAAAGGAATAAAACGTTTCATTCAATAGTTAATTTAATGAATAACATAATAGTTAATTGTAATTCAAAAGCTCATTTGAAAAATCAAGGTTTGAACTTTGAGATTTATGAGTACGATGCACGTTCCGGGTGTAGCGCACTTTATTTCACTCAGCGTCTGAAAATCAAATTGAAAAAAAAAGCTGAAAAGTTGGTTATCCTCAGATCTGGGTGATAATGTGGGAAAATATGTAAACGCTAAGTATTCGATATTAAATTTTGTTGAGAATGACGACATGAGGTCGTCGAAACGTCCAATTCGATATTGTCGTCTCTGATTTTTCTTTTAAAAAAGTGGATTTGTTAGCGATMAAGGGGTTTAATATAAAAAGAAGTGGAACTAGATTCTATTTCCGGCACCTTCCTTTTATGACCACCCATGATGCGTAGCTTGTTTTATCTTCATACGGCTTCGTAAAGAAGGAAGTTGGTGCCAAATGAACAAC